TTCAACATCCTTCGTCATCAGGGCAATGCAAACCAGAACCACGATGAACTATCATCTCACCTGTCGGAATGGCTAAAAAAAAAAAAAGACAAGAAATAAGGTGTGTGGGCGAGGATGCGGAGGAAAAGGGAAGCCTCGTGCGTTGTGGGAATGTGAGGCGGTGTAGCCACCGTGGAAAACAGTATGGAGGTTCTCAAAAATTAAAAGCAGAAATACCATATGATCGGTTATTCTGCTACTGGGTATTTACCAAAACAAAAGGAAAAGACTAATTGGAAAAGACATATGCCCCCCTACGTTCATTGCAGCACTATTTATAATAGCCAAGGTATGGAAACACCCTAAGCGCCTATCGATGGATGAATGGACAAAGATGTGGTGTGTGTGTGTGTGTGTGTGTGTGTGTGTGTATATATATATATGTATAATAGAGTATTACTCAACCATAAAAAAAGAATGAGATTTTGTCATTTGTGACAACATGGATGGGTCTAGGTGGTAAGTGAAATAAGTCAGACAGAGAAAGACAAATACCATATGATTTCATTTATGTATGGAATCTAAAAAATAAATGAACAAACACAAAACTAGAAACAGATGCATAAATACGGTGCATTTGGTGAGGGGATGCATGAAATAGATGAAGGGGATCAAGAGGTACTAATTCCCAGTAATAAAATGAACGAGTCATGAAAAGTACAGCACAAGGACCGTAGCCGAGAAGACCGTAATACTGCTATCTGGCCACAGATGGTGACCACACTCACTGTGGCGAGCACTGAGTAATGCATAGAGTTATCGAATCACTGTGTTGTGCACCTGAAACTACTATAACGCTGTATGTCAACTATACTTCAGTAATAAAAAAATCTTAGAAGTATGTTAAGCTAAGTAAGAGAAGCCGGACACAAAAGAGTACTTACTGTATGCTTCCATTCATATAAGATAGGAGGCAAATGTAATCTACAGTGGCAGTAATTGGATTTCCACCTCACTGGGGCTGCAGAATTGGGGGTGGTTTGACCTCAGAGGGGCACGAGGGAATGTTCTGGAATTATAGAAATGTTCTGTGTCTTGATTGTGCTGGTGGTTTTATAGGTGTGTGCATTTTCAAAATTTTTTTTCAATGTTTGTCTATATTTGAGAGAGAGAGGGAAACGGAGCGTGAGTGGGGAAGGGACAGACAGAGACAGAGGGAGACAGAATCCGAAGCAGGCTCCAGGCTCCGAGCTGTCAGCCCAGAGCCGGACGCGGGGCTCGAACTCACGAGCTGTGAGATCATGACCCGAGCCGAAGTCGGACGCTTAACTGACTGAGCCACCCAGGCACCCCGTGTGTGTTTTTTTAAAGCATTGAACTGTACACTTAAAATGGGTGCAATTTATCACATGTGGCCGATACCTCAATAAAACTAATTTTTAGAAACCAGTAAAACACCAAGAGAACTGGCACTCTCTCCCAGCCACAGTGACCTGCACTTCTCGGGTTCTCTTTCAGCCTGACACCGCAAACAGTCATCGTACTTTGTGTTAGGCCACTTCAGACACTTCTGCGCCTGGCAGGGTCAGCAGACCCAGGGTCCCGTGGGCAGACGAGCTGACTACCCCCTCACCCAACAAGCAGGTGCGAAAGCAGAATCACCCCGTTGCCACCCCGTGGCCAGGCAGCCAGCAGGAGGCCACAGACTGAACTTGCCGTATGTCTCCCGGACACTTTCATTCTTTCGTGAGAAACTTTGCTTCTGTTTCCTCAATTTTTTAAAGTTCTTTGTACCTTAGGGGTGTTAGTCCTTCATCCCTGATGTGACAAATATTTTCTCCTAGTTTGTTGTTTGTCTGTTGACTCTGCCTGTGGTATCTTACGCAGTACAGAAGATGCGGTGTTTCGGTCGTTGGCGGTGGTGACCTGTCAGTCTTCCCTCTCACTGCCTCTGGACTTAAGTCCTTACATCCAGGTTACAAGGAGTTTGCCATGTTTCCTGGTGCCTTTCCCAAACGGCTCTCCAGCTGTCCCAGCACCATGTACCAGGAGGCCCGTCTTTGCTCCCGTGGATTTCTGCATGCCACCCAGCCTGTGCCCGAACTCTCCGTCCTACTCTGGCGCCGTGTCCCTCCGTGCACCTGTAGCACACCGCTGCACGGTACCTCTACCGCCGCCCGTGTCGGCGCCTGAGTGGCCACGTGCCCCCAGCTCTCCTGTTTCTGTGCATTCGTTTCCCACGTGAACGTCGGTTTCCCACATGGGCTCGTGGCTGGTTCCGTGGACAAGCTTGTTGGTATTTTTGTTGAGATCACATTAAGTCCACAGGTTAGTGTAGGGAGAGCTGGCATCTTGGTAATGTTGGCACATTTCAGTCAAGAACAAATGAGGTCCTCTCTTCCATTGTGTCTTCTGCTATGATTGTTGGTGTATACGGAAGCTGTTGACTTGCTATGCTCATTTTACTCCCTGCTACTTTATGAATTATTTTATCGTTGATCCTCTAGGAATTTCCAGAATATTGCCTTGTCATCTGCAGCTACAGATAGTTTTCTTAAATTTTTCCAATTCTTATGCCTCTGATCATTTGGCTAATACTTCCAGAACAACGTTTAATAGTATTGGCAGTAGTGAGCACTCTTGCCTTGCTTCTGACCTTAGTAAGAATGCCTCTGGTGTCTCCCCTTTAGTGAGACGCCAGCCCTAGCATTGGGGCGTAGGGGTCATAATTTTAAGGAAGTATCCCGCTATTCCTATTTTCTCAAGGGTTTTTAGTAGGAGTGGGTGTTGGATTTTGTCATAGGGTTTTTCAACCACTATGTAGACAACCATGTAATTTTCTCCTTAGTCCTATTAATGTGGTGAGTTCTATTAACAGGTATCCTAACATTGAACCAACTTTACTTTCCCGGTGTAAACTCTGCTTGGCCCTGGGTACTGTTTTCTCAGTGTGGTGTTGGACTCCATTTGCCAAGATTCTATTTAGGATTATTACATCAATCAATATTCATAGGAGATGGGGTCTGTGATTTTTCCTTTATTATACTCTCTGTCATGTTTCAGTATAACCTTTATACTTAATGAAAGACATTTTTCTTCATCTTCTATGCTCGGAAGCAATTTACACAGCATGGGGACTATCTGGTCTCTGAGGTTCGAGAGAATTCCCCTTTAGGACCACCCAGGTCAGTGGGTTTTGTGGGGAAGTTCCTTCATCGTTTTCTCTGTTTCTTCTGCGGCCATTCTTCCGCGGTCTGTCTCGCTTTTGTCTCTACTCGGTCCAATTTTTATAATTGTGCTTTCTTCAGAAATGTCCGTGTCACGTAAGCTTTTACATTTATTTGCATAGAGTTCTGCAAAATAAGACGTTTTTAACTTCTTGCGTGTCTGGGTTTTCCCTGCTTGTGTTTCTTCTTTTGTGTATCTGTGCTCGCTTCCTTTTGATTAAACCAGCTAATGGTTTGTCCATTTTATTTTTCACAGAAACGAGGATTTTTATGTATTAATTTGATCTCGTGTTTTGCTGTTTTCTACTGCATTAATTTCTGTTTCTGCCTTTATTCTAGCTTTATGGTTTCCCTCCTCTGTGATCCTTCGATTCGCTTTGTTGTTCTTTTCTTGTCTTTTGAGTTGAAAACCTCATTCATATGCAGCTGGCCCTCAACACAGGCTTGAGCTGCACGGGCCCACGTACGCGTGGATTGTTTTGCGACAGGATAGGACCAGCGATGTATTTTCTCTTCCTGATGATTTTCCTCATAACACTTTCTTTTCTCTGGCTTACGGTATTGTGAGAATAGCTTCTATGGCAAAGACACACACAAAATATGTGTTCATTGACTGGGTCGTCAGTAAGGCTTCCTGTCAGCAGGAGGCTCTCAATAGTTAAGCTTGGGGGAAGTCAGGAGTTATATGTGGATTTTCAGCTGTGTGGGGGGGGGGGGGGTCACCACACTAACCCCCATATTGTTGAAGGGTCAATTGTACTTTTATTCTTTCAGTTATTAATGTAGGTGTTTAGAGCTATGACATTTCCTCACCGCTTTAAATGTAATCCACTGGGCCTGACATAGTGTTTTCATTAGAAGTGAATGTAATTTCTGTTTGTATTTTTCTTCACCCAAAAGTTGTCTGAAAGAAGTGTTTTTTGTTTTATTTCTAGGTAGATGGGGTTTGTGTTTTTTATTTCTTTGGTTTGGTTTGGGTTATAATTTTAGTTTTCTTGTGCTGTAATCAGAATGTTATTTTAACATTTTTACTTTGTGCAACCTTTTGATGTTTTCTGTGTGTCCTAATGTATGATGGGTTATTGTGAATATACCGTGTGTGCTCCAAAAGACAGTATACTCTCTATGATCAGAGAGCGGCTTTGATGTATGTCCACAATATCTGTTTATTGGCTGTGCTGTTTGGATCTTGTCACACTTTGGGAAGAAGCAGGCTCTGAGAGTTTAATGCTGCTTCAGCAGACAGCTTTCTGACTCTGGACAGCACTGACGTTCCCTCAGAGAACAAGGGAGAGGGGCTCGTGCAGACACGAGGGGAGAATTCATCTCCCTGCCACGGAGACCCTTTGTTCATTCAAGGAAAGGCAGCAAAACGGGGCAAGCTTCCAGTGTGAGAACATCGGGCAGACGTATGAGAGCCACCTCGCACTTGCAGTGTGACCGTGGCGCCAGGACGTAAGTGACTCGCCCACGATGGGTCCGGAATGCGCCTCACGCCGGCCCGCCCAGACCCCAGCCCGGGCTCTGCACGCCGCTACGTCTGCTGGACCCCACACCTGCAGAGCTCACCCTCACGCTTTCCTTCGCTCCGCGGTCCCTTGTCGGCTGGTCTTGGCCACTACAGCGGCCATCTGTTCCCGGGTGACACACTGATGGCCACTCGGTGTTTGCGGGGCTCCAGGGTGGTGGTCTCACCTCAGCTGCACCGGGGGGCACACCAGCAGCCCTCAGCTCTTGCCGCATGAGTCCCCATGCTACCGCAAGGTGGCTTGGCTCTTGACGGCCAGCAGGAAGATGCTACACGCTGACGTCTGTGATCAGGTCACATACCTGTGACCTTCACCGAGCCTGCTGAGAGACAGGGGCAGGTCTGCCCACCCTCCAGGGCAAGGGTCACACGAGGGCGTGAAGACCACCAGGCGGGACCGTGGAGGCCCCTTGAGGATCTGTCTGCTACACACCCCTTTCTGAACTTGGGGCCCCAGGCTGCACGCGGCCCTCCACAAGCCCCCATGGCCCACTGTCCCAAGGAGTCCCGTGACACGAGAGCTCTGCCAGTGCTGCCCACGACTGGACACACGAGGAATACTGAACAAATCCATGAGCTGGGTCGTCTTCGGACCCTACTTGTGAAAACATTTTGTGTACACAGTTTTTCAGAAACTTTGCTTTAAAGAACTGAACTCGGGGAGCCTGGGTGGCTCATCGGTTGGGCGACCGACATCCGCTCGGGTCACGATCTCATGGTTTGTGAGTTCGAGCCCCGCATGGGGCTCCGTGCTGACAGCTCGGAGCCCGGAGCCCGCTTCGGATTCTGTGTCTCCCTCTCTCTGCCCCTCCCCCACTCACGTTTTGTCTCTCTCTATCAAAAAATGAATAAACGTTAAAAACAAAAATTGAAAGAACTGAACTCAGTGGGTGATAGCGGGATGACTCAGACTCCCTTCATCTGTCTCCTCCTCTTGGCCTCCCTGTGCTGTGCTCCTGAACCTCCCTGGGTCACTATTGGGGGGGGGGGGGGCGGGGAGAGCAGAATATCACCAAATTACATTAGATTTTGGTGCCTCGCAACGTGGCCCAGAATCACATGTCACAGACACAATAGCTCTGGCTCTGCTTCCCTGGCGGGCAGCCTGGGCCGGAGGCCTAACCCCGTCCCCTCCTGGCTCTGGGACCTTCTCCAAGGCCCTCCCCCTCTCTGTGCCCCAGGCACCTCCCAGTCAGCGAGGAGGTAGGCTTGTTGGATGGTGCCTGGGACCAGCCGCCCCACCCTCAGCGCCTGCCCCCCACGCTGGGGACCCACTGTCCAGCGTGCCCTGGGGTGCGCCACCAAGGGCCTGGCAGCTCCGTGCGGTGGTGGGGCCGCAGGGAGAGGGCCGGGCGTGAGTGTGGCGAGCACCCCGCGCAGTGTCACGCACATGGCAGGATGCGCTCAGACTCCGTCTTCACTCTGGCACCTTCTGGAATATTCGCCTCATTTTTTGCTGGAGAGGAAAAGAGCTCCAGTTTGTAAATAAGCAGTGAGTCACTAGCCATGATGTTGGTGCAAAGAGTAATTTGGCTGCTTTTAGCCCTGTCGGTGACAGGGCTCCCACCCCAAGCCTCCACTTCTGCTGTTGGGCCGTCACCGGCCAGGTTGACGGACATCACCGCGTCTGCCGATGTCTGCGCACGGCGGTGCTGTCCTCCTCGTGTGGAGCCAGAGTCCCGGTGGGCAAACCTGTCGGGTCTCCCGGGCTGCTGGGAACCCTCTGGAAATGCATCCCAGAGGCTTCCAACCAGAGGCAATGACAGGTTTCCGCACAAAGGTGCCGCTGAGGGTCTGGAAACTGCTGCCCTGCATGCCGGGGGCACAGGGCAGAGGCGCTGCCTGAGTTGGCATGATCAGCATGAGTGCCACGGTGACAGTCGAGCGGCAGGACTGTGACGTGAGCAGAGAAGGTGCCCAGGGGGGACGCCAGGTCGCAGCAGCCTCGCTGCGGCCTGCAGGTGGGGCCACCTGGTCCCCGCACCTCCCTCAGACTCTGCGGGGGGCACCGTCCCTGCCCGAACTGGTGGTGACCACAGAGCAGCTATTCCCCGGGGACCCGGCCCAAGGGCTGACCCGCGGGCTCCTCTTTCAGCCACCTACCAACTACCAGTGCGCCCCAGCACCGTCCTGCTGACAGCCCCTCTGCACCCATCAGGACCCGCTTCCTCCAAGAAGCCACTCCTGACTCCTCCCGTCTTGCTCTGAGCTCCCACTGCTCCTAGAGTCCGTTTAACCCTGATTCTCCACGGGTTCCGCACTCAAGTTCGCCCCCACATCCAGGCACGTGTGGTCAGCAGGCCCCCCCCCCCCCCCCCGAGTGTGGAGTGTGCCGTGGGCCAGGCTCCAACTGGGCACAGGAGGACTTAGGGGCAGGTGCAGTGCCTGCTCCCAAGGGCTGACATTTGTCACAAGAGAGGCACAAGCAGGCCCGTGAGGGCAGCACTGAGTTTCTGGTGCCGAGTAGGGCCGGGAGTGGCGGGCAGACCGCCAGAGCAGAGCTGGGAAGGCCGCGTAGTTTGCCGGGTCTGCTCCAGGCAGAGCAGCGGGCACTCCTGAAGGCCCACTGTGTCTCTGAGCTCAGACAAGAGTGAGAAACTGTTAGCAAATCCGCAAGGGGTTGAAAGAGCACTTGGAGACAAGGGAGTGATCATCCTAAAGTTACAGATGTAGTGCATGCACGATGTCGTTAGCCGTCTGTGGGAACAGTCACCCCATTCAGATGGGATTTCAGATGGGGAGTGACTCATGCTCCCACCGAGGGCCTCTGCTCGAGGGGCCGGGCCCGCACTCGGTCACAACTCACACAGCAGAAACCTGACCGAGGGGACCCAAGCATGGAGGCCAGTCGTGTGAAAGGGGCTGGCCTACATGAAGCGTGGAACACAAGCCCTCACGGAGTCAAGGGTCATCCTGCGTGGGGGCCTTGGAGTGTGACAGGCCCCTGGAAGGGCACGCGGGCAAGAACCCAGAGAACTGACTGGACTTCCTGTCTCCATCCGAGTCTCTGTGTCTTCTTCCTGTGCAGTTCCTGCATTATTTGTTCCTCCTATGAAGAAGCTTTCTTCAGGTACAGGGACCTTGGCCAACTCTGCCCTTCACATATTCCCAACAGTTCTGCCTGATAAAGGAAAAGAATTCTTTCTGAGCCATATGTACTGAGAAGGAGAAGTGTGACTTCTGTAATGGCCGAGTGGCTCCCATCTGACTACCTCCCATGGGTATTGACTATAAATTATGGGGACAATATAATAAACAACCACCTAAAGGTAGTGGAACATGACCTTTGGGAGGAATGGTTCAGGGTGAGGTCCCTTTTTATAACTCTTCACCTGAAGACAGGCCTCAGTGTTACGGGTGGCTAAAATTCCAGCAGAAATGCATAGTCGTACTTGCTTGAGGAAACACAGGACAGAGTTTGAAGCAACTGGAGAATCTGGAAAGTGAGAAAGAAATCTCAGAAAAAAGAGAGCCAAAGGAGAACGCTAAATTCCAGATATGAACTCTGCCCAAACCTCTGGCTGCCCCCTAACTGTGCGTAAGAAGGGGCAGGCTTCAGACAGCCATCTAAGTCTGAAAGGACTGACCTGAGGTTTCAGCTGCTTCCCACTGCACAGGGACAAAGTCTGAAGTTTGGCTTTAGCCAAATTAACTGCCTCCTTTAAAAAGAAAGAAATAGGAAGGAAGGAAGGGAGGAAGGGAGGAAAGGAAGGAAGGAAGGAAGGAAGGGAAGGAAGAAAGAAAAAAAGGAAGACAGAAAGAGAAAGAAAAAAAAGAAAATCACTGGGGCGCCTGCTTGGCTGAGTCAGTTGAGCATCCAACTCTTGATTTTGGTTCAGGTCATGACCCCAGGGTCATGGGATTGAGCCCTGCATCAGGCTCCACACTGACCATGGAGCCTGCTTAAGATTCTCTCTCTCTCTCCTTCTGCCCCTCTCCCCCACTCATGCTCACTCTCTCTCTCTTCCTCAAATAAAAGAAAAAAAGAAATTCAGTACTCCTAAAAAAGCACAATAGAATCCAGAGTGTCTAAAACATTCCATTCACAACATCCAGGATATAATACAAAATTAATAAACCTATGAAGAAATAGGATAACTTGATCCATACTCAAAAGAAAAGGGAATCATGCAAGCAAATCCTGAGATGACCCAGATGTTAGAATCCACGGACAAGGATTTTAAAGCCACTGTTATAGCTGTGCTGAAGGATGTAAAGGAGAATATGCTCATAATGAGTGAAAAAATCGGAATCTCAGAAAATAAAAAGAACCAAATGGAAATTCTAAAACCGGAAACTGCAGTATCAGAAGTAAAACATCCACTGACGAGGCTTAACAGCAGATTAGACATGAGGAAAGACTTAGCTGAGAAGACTCAGGGTCCCACTGACCAGACCTGCCTGAGGCGTCCAGCCGCCATTTGACTCCTTCCTGAAAGCCAATGGGGTTTCCACTAGGCCGCCATAGCCGAGGGGCAGCGATTGGAATGTCTTAGAAAGAAAGAATTCGACATGGATTATTTCAGTGTAATGTATTTACGAAGCTCTGATTTGGTCTTAATTAAGCCCTGAAAGAGAAATTGAAAATTTTTCATTTCCATCGAAATGGCATCAGGCAAGCTTGGCAAGAGGAAGGTCTGAGGGTTCTGTGAGTTCTCTCTGCTGGGAGAGACTTTGGGGAACACGGGGCACCACAACCTTCCCCGCTCTTCCTTGCCAAGCAGTGCGAACGCTTTCTGTCCAGACCACTGAAAGCATCAGCTGGCTGGGGCTAGGCACAGGCTGGCTACAGAGACCTGGATCTCTGAGGTCAGTCAGTCCCGTCCCTCTGGAGGCCGCCTCTCCCAGTCCCCACCCTTGGGCCATGGTGTCTGGGCTGGATTTTCCCAAAGGCCCCCTGGGGTGCCCTCTAGTGTAGCCCCAGGGTGGGCCTGGTGCTGAGGACAGCAAGTCCACTGCTGGTCCTGGTCGTGCTCTTGCGGGGAGTCAGGTCTCCAGCCGTTTGACTCTAAGGGATTCCCTCCAACGATGCAGCCCCTCAGAGCCCAGGGCTTTGCCCGTGACCCTGATGTCCAGCAGGGCCCCCAGCCTCCTCAGTCTCCTCGTTCTCCTCATCCTCTGTTTAAATTACATTCTTTTCTGGAGGAAAATGGGAGAGAATGAGTCCCTACTGAGAACCGAGTGGGAGTCAGGCTCTGCTTGGAGCTTTACTGCCTTGGCTCCAGGTTCCCCTAATGCCCCTGGGATAAAGTGTTCTTGAGTCGTAGGTGAAGAAGCAGGGTTGACTGCAGGTCAGATAACTTCCCCGAGGCCACACAGAGCCTCCCGTGGCGAGACAGCTGGACTCAGACCCAGGTGTGTGTGGCCCCGCATCTTCCCACCGAGCTGTGCTGGGACTCACGGTGCTGTCCCGACCAGAGATCTTGCCGTAAAAAGCCTCACAAGAACACCTGCGTCCTCTAGGGAACAAACACTGGTCTGGACCGGAAGTGTTTGTCTCCAAATAAAAATGTCCAGGATAGGAGCTCCTAAGTATCATTTTCTCATAATTTGGCGATGGAAGTTTCCCTTCCTCTTTCCCCTGCGCCCCTCCCCAGTGTCCCCTAGTTGTGGAGTCAGGTCTCCCTCTGGACAGGCTGAGAGCGGGGACCACATCTGCTTCATCCGTGGCCCCACCCGCAGCACCTGCCCAGGCGCTCAGTCAATACTGTCGAGTGAGTGAATGTGTAACAGAAACCAGTCTAGGCCGAGCAGCACCCAGCGCTCAGCCGGGCAGCCAAACCCAGCACCATCCTGACCCGCCAGAAAGACGCGAGTGGGACCAGCTGGACCTAGACCCAGAGTCTCCCAAGGGCCCTTCTGCAGGCTCGCCTGTGTGCGGTGGCCACCGCCTGGCAGCTTGGGCCCCCGGTCCCTGCTGGCGTGAGTCGGGCTCGTCTCGGATCTCGAGCGTTTCTGTCCGTGCAGGGAAGGAGCGGCTTGCTGCTTGCCTTGGAATTGCTGTGCCGGAAGCCGCCCAGTTTTTGGAGAGTTTTTTGCAGAAGTACAAGAAAATCAAGGACTTTGCCCAAACAACTGTTGCCCAGGGTCACCGGACAGGTGAGCCAGACACAACCAGAGCCTGTGAGGGCCCTCCTTCCCCTGCTTACCCGAAGTCCCCCACTGGTTGCCAGCCCTGCTCACTTGGGGGGTGGCAGACAGACAGGAGGGCACCAGGGGAGCGCCCAGCCCCTGCTGGAAAATGGGGCCACAAGGCTCCGTGTGACAAGGGTCCAGAGCCAGGATGTGCTTGAAGCCATCTTGAGTCAGAAAATGATAGATGGATAGAGATAAAATCCTGTACCTGAAAGTGAAGAACATGCCTTCTTATGTGCGTGGTATATCTACAAAATTCCAGCACGAGTTGGTCACAAATTCAAAAGGATGTCAGGTAGAAGATGTCGTGTGGCCACAGTGGAACTCAAAGGTAGCTTGTATCTGGACATGTGGCCATCCGTCCACCTGCCTGCTCAAAACTGCCTCCCACTCTGTAATGATTTAGAATGAATTAAAAAAGAAGCCCTACGAAAATCACAAACATCTTAGAAATACGTGACAGTGAAAGTACCTCGTGAAAATCTGTGGGGCCTGGCCAGGTGCGAATTTCACTTAGAGGTGAAGGAATGCTTTAAAAGCGTATTTCCATGGGGCGCCTGGGTGGCGCAGTCAGTTAAGCGTCCGACTTCAGCCAGGTCACGATCTCGCGGTCTGGGAGTTCGAGCCCCGCATCGGGCTCTGGGCTGATGGCTCAGAGCCTGGAGCCTGTTTCCGATTCTGTGTCTCCCTCTCTCTCTGCCCCTCCCCCGTTCATGCTCTGTCTCTCTCTGTCCCAAAAATAAATAAACGTTGAAAAAAGAAAATTAAAAAAAATACATGCGAAGGACTAAGAGTACTAGTCCTTTAGGAAAAAAAAAAATAAAATAAAAAATAAAAAAATAAATAAAAAAAAATAAAAGCGTATTTCCAAAGGAACGAGAGGAATCTGTGAACATAGGGAGTTGTATTCAACCAAGGCATTTCGAAAAGCGCAGCACAGTGAAGTCAAGAAAGAGGAAGGAGAGAAATGAGCGAGGGAGCAAAAATTCATGAGGCCGGCAACGGGAAAGTGCAGAGAGCAGGTGGACGGCGGGTGCAGAGAGCACAGAACCGGGTCCAGTCGAGCTCTTAGGAAAGTAAAATGCTACCGGTTTTGAGATGTGAGAAGAGTGATGAAACCCAGTGTTGGTGAGAGCGTGTGGAGTCAGAATCGGCAGAAAACAACAGTGCGGGAGCTCGTGAGGCCCTTCCGCGGGCCAGACGCGGGTCAGCGGCTTTCTGTAAATAACTTACAACCCTCACTGCGATTCCAAAACGTGGGTCGTATCGTTACCCATCTTACCGAGGAAGACGACAGTCGCCGGGAGGTGAAGTAACTTCCCAAGTTCACACTGCTGGCTCTGCCTGCCTGCCTTGCACTCAACTCTTGCCCAGCGGTTACTCTTCTGGACAGACGCCGTAAAGAAATCCTCGCGCAATCATGCTCTGCTTTCCTAGCGTGTGTTGACACCGGAGACACGAGCCCCTAGCGGTCCCGGGGCCGCAATCCAAGAGCAGACAGCATCCCACCAGTAAGCAAGTCCGTCCGGACAGGGTCAGAAAGACGGGGTTCTGGATGTGGAAGAGACAGACAGGATACCGGTGCAGAGCGATGGGGGGAGGCCCCTGGAGAGCTCCATTGGCCACGGCCTCGCCGAGGGGGAGCCGTCTGAGCCGCCATGTGGAAGGCCAGGGGGTCTGCAGGGGGCAGGGCGGGCCACAGGAAGAAGCTGGGTTTCATTTTTCACAAACCAGGCCACGAGACTGCGGAAAATCGGTTGGCGGGGGAGACCGAGGTCAGACCTGGTGCCTCGGGGGCAGTGACAGGGTCAGCCCAGCAACCGAGGCGGGACGGACGGAGAGCACAGATAAGAGACACCAAGGAGACAGCATCAATGGCTGGCATGGAGGGGGACCCAGGCCCCAGCCGTACGAGCAGCTCTCCAGGTGGGCGCCCCCGACCCTCTAGGGGCTGCAGCAGGCACACGAGGCGATATGCCAGGGTGCTGAGGAGCGGGAGGGCCAGGTCCCTTACCAGGCCCAGGGGCAGGTGTCCACGTGGCCTCGTCTTTTGTAAAGCTGACAAAAGCCAGACGTTTGAACTGCGATCGTGGAAATGCTGCCTCCTGCCAGCCCCACCGTTCCGGGCCAGGGTGGGGGTGTTGCGGGGCGGCCACAGCTAAGGGGGAGTCGAGTTGTGACTCACTTAACTGGGATTTCAGGGCGGATACTTCTGTGGCTTATCCCTCCTTCCCTGCATGATTGTGGGGTGCGTGCCGCGCTGGCTGGGTGCCTTCCAGGAGTCTCCTTGAATGCCCTCGCCCACTCGGTGAGCACGGTGACGTGAGGGAGAGGGAGAGAGGTCGTCTCGCAGTGTGAACAGGGGGCACGAGCCCAGCCCCACGAGCACTGGGTGGAACAGAAGCAGGACTGGAGCTGGGTGGAGCCGGGGACCTCCGCTCCGGGCCACGAAGGGGTACCTGGGTTTCAACTTTCCTCCCACGAGAAACAACTGGAAGACTGGGCAAACTGCATGAAGCAGCTGTTTTCAGACACTGGACCATGGGCACTGTGCTCCTCTGGCCCCCGAGAGAAGAGAAACAAAGCGGGGGAGCCCCCTGAGCACCCAGAGCGCGGCGTGGGAGGGGGGCCCAGGCAGGTCACAGTGGTGTCACTAAGCCAAGGAGACAAGGGTTGGGACCGGGGAGGCGGAGGCAGAGTATCAGAGAGGACGGAGCTCTGCGGAGAAAGCACTCCATACATCAGAGGATTCCCTGTGTTTTTGAGCCCCAGGGCGTGCACACACAGAGTAAAACCCCGTAGGACACAGCAGAGTAACTTCTGGAAGCAGTAGGCTGGGCGATTCCAGCGTCTGTGCGGGTCCCAAGTCACTGGGGCTCGGGGGCTCTGTGCTGGGAAAGCGGGGGCGGTGATGCTGATGCCTCCACCTGCCCCGTGGCTCGCCGGTCTGACTTGCGGCTGCACTCGCACCTGACACGGGTCAGGGGAGCGCAGTGTGTAAAGAGTGTTAAAAGCCACTTGTGGGACTTGGGTAGGAGACGTCTGAGTCCTGACTGTTGGTGTGGACATCTGGGACACCCAGGAGAGCCCCCAGAAGGAAGGGCCCAGGAGTGGGTCTGAACCAGCCCTGACCACCGGCTACTCAAGACCCACCCACGGAGCTTAAACACAGGCCTCAAAGGCATCAGGTGACCTGCCGGTGACCTGGGCCTGACCCTCTTGAGAGGGACACAGCAAACCCAACACTCGCCAACAGGAAGCACCCAGCACCCAGCGTGCGGTCCAGAATCACCAGACGCACAGAGAGGCAGAGACTGGAGTTTGCTCGGCGGAGGCGTGGGCTTTCCTTGCCCCCACGATTAGGAGACCCCGTCGTATTACTGCCAGGCCCACAGCCGCCGCTCCATACACTGTCATCTTGCAGCCGTGATCTCTGTGGGAAATTCTCCCAATCTTCACATACGTGAGATCCTAAGTGGGGAACCTAGCAAAACACAAGTCCCCACCGGTCAGGAGCATTTGTTTGTTCTGTAAGGAAGACCTCGGAATTAAGCAGCTTCAGGCCCCACAAAACTGGGGCCTGCCCTCGTGCGTCAGGACGCGGCCCCTGACCCGGACCATCCGCCCCTCCTGGAGTAGAATGAGGATTAATGCTTTTCTCCCCATAGCAGCTACCCTGTGGTCCAGAGTTACTTCCATACCCAAGTCCCACAAGTGGCTTTTAACGGTCTCTACACACGGCCCTCCCCGACCCCTGTCAGGTGCTTGTGCAGCCGGAAGTCAGACAGGCGAGCCACGGGGCCACGGGGCGCACACACACGGGGCATCACTGCCCCTGCTTTCCCAGCACAGAGCCCCCTACCCCCAGATGCAGAACGGGGGGGGGGGGGGCCGCGCTCTGGCTCAGTGCTGCATGGGGCCGGGTCCTGCCAGGGCCCCTGGACCTAATCTGAGGGGAGCCCAACCCACAAAGGACAGGTAACCACGGGGTGTCGCACGGCCTGTTTGTTTCTGCCTCAAGTCCTGCTTCTCCTCCGTGTGACCCAGGCGACGTGGCATCCATCGTGGGCCGAAGGAGACCGCTGCCGAGGGTCCACACACAAGACCAGCGGCTCCGGGCACGAGCAGAGAGACAGGCGGTCAACTTCGTGGCACCAGGTACCCGGAGCGCCTCAGCCCATCCGCCGGGTGCATGTGCTTCTTGGGTCCTTGACGGCCTCGGCCTCAGGTTGTCCCGTCCTCACCGGCAGCTCCCCTGGGGAGGCACCGGCGAAATGACTCTGGCCTAGCAGGTAGGTGCTCAGTGCATGGTGGTCTCTCTAGTTACATTTCCCCCAAGAGACGGGCTGAAGCCGTGCCATCCTGTACCTGCAAATAGGGAACGAGGCAGGACCAGGACCAGCCTGGAGCTCAGTCCTGGACTCCTGCCCTGGGACTGTCCGTCACGCCCCTCACCAGAGCAAGACCTCGCAGGAAGACCCCCAGACCCAGCAGGCCCTCCTGGGTCCTGCAGCCGTCAGCAGGGGGCCGCTGGTGAGAGTGACCACAGAGTGTCTGCCCCTCGTTGTAAAGACTCCTTTGCCATCTCTAGCCACGGCACTCAGATGGCTCAAGCGTCTGCACGCATCACGGGCTCCGCACACCACAGGCTGTTCCGGTGAGGCAGCCTGGGAGTCGGCATCATCCCATGAGTGGCCCCATAGGTCACAGATGGAGAACCGAGGCCCCCAGGGCCCAGACGTGAGGCCTGCCCCCGGAGGGGGGTTCTGCAGCAGGAGGGTAGCCAGACTTGGAGCGGGCAGCGTGCACAAAGGGGAGGACGGAGATCGTGGTCCCAGGAGTCCTGCAGAGACAGGGACGTGGAGGCACTGCCCGGTCCAGACTCCACCCCCATGTGTTACTTGGACAACCAGAGGCTCAGCAGCGGGCAGGGCAATTCCTAGGGTCTGGTCTGGGCTCCGTAGAGAATCTTCCCGGGTCCCGTCTCCCAGCGTGACCCCCCAGAGGACAGTGACAGCCCTCCAGATCCCCAGGGGGAGGTTTTCGGGTCTGAGGCAACAGTCAGGCCAGGACCACATGTCTGTTCGCTAGGCGTGTGCAAGGCGTGTGCGAAGCGACATCGAAGCTATTTTAGAGCCCTTCCAGAAAGAACTACGCACAAGACGTATTCACGTGAGAAGCTGACTAGGAGTCTTGGCCACGGAATCGGGCTACCACGGATACGCCTCCCTGCCTACCTGTGTCTCTGAGCAAGTGACTTCCCACCCATCCACTCAATAAGAGTCTGCACCCAGCTGAACCAGGTGCCAGGAACAAGCAGTGGCTGGTGCCGGCGAGAAGGTTCTGCCTCTGACGCACCAAGCAACCAACATGACCAGCCGCGAGGCCCCCACCTCCCTGGGGCCTCCCCTTCCCCCACCCTCCCCTCTCTCGCCCCCCCCCCCCCCCCAATCCTTGTTTCCCCAGTTCTGTGCATTCTCCGGAAGCAGCGGGCACCCTGGCACCCTACCCGAGTGCAGGCTCCCATCCCCCCGACACCCCCCGCCGCCCGCAGGCTGGCCTCAGCGGCCACACTTCCACATCCAGCATTGCTGCCACACTCTCGGGGGAAGGGACGTCCCTATGTGGGGGCTCTACCCTACAGGGGAGGAAGGCAGTCCGCTGACTTCTCCGCTGACCTCGGGAGCCACCAACAGCTAAAGCGATTTAAAACCACCGATGAACCTTGAACTTCAGTCCGTTGCCCGTGATCAGAATGGAGTGTCCAGACGGCCCCGTGTGCCTGGCGCTGGAACGGGCACGTCCCCTACACCAGCCAGCACCTTGCAGAGTGCCCAGCACAGCCCTACATGGTTAAATGGCCGACAGATGGATCTATCCCTACCCAAATCCGGGCACCTGTGTCATAGCCCCGTGTCATCCACTGGAGAGCTGAGCAAAGCAAGCCAAAAGGCCACACAGCTGAAAGGCTGAGTGCACGTCCCCGCCTGGTCACCGTGTTAGCTGGTGCAGTGGGCGCAGTTATAGATTCTTCAGCCGGTGTGCATGCCCCAAATGTTGGCAGAACCTGTGGATGTGGTGAGGTATCATTCCCATGGTTACCTCAAGCCACATGGCAAAGAGCATTTGCAGTTAAAAGGGAGACTGTCCAAGGGCGCCTGGGTGGCTCAGTCGGTTAAGCGTCCGACTTCGGCTCAGGTGATGATCTTGCAGTTCGTGGGTTCGAGCCCCGCGACGGGCTCTGTGCTGACAGCTGGAAGCCTGGAGCCTGTTTCCGATTCTGTGTCTCCCTCTCTCTCTGTTCCTCCCCTGCTCATGCTCTGTCTGTCTCTCTCTCTCTCTCTCTCAAAAATAAAGATTAAAAAATTTTTAAAAAGGCGGGGGGGGGGGGGGGGGGTACTGTCCAGCGTGGGCCTGACCTAATCAGATGGGCCCTTGAAAGGTTTAGGGGTCAGAATCAGAGATTCCCAGCAGCAGATGCCCTTGTGCTGGCCGTGGAGAAGCAAAACTGCTTGTTGGATGGAGGGCCCGTGCAGCCTCCGGGGCTGAGCGTGTGGCCCACAGCCCGCAGCAACACAGGACCTCCCCTGGAGCCACTGCAAGGAACTGAGTTTTGCCAACAACGTGGGGTCACTTGGAAGTGGGTCTTCCCTAGTCAAGTTTCCAAACGAGGACATGGCCAGGCCCTTTACCGATCTCAGCCTGTGGGACCCCCAGCGGAGGGCCCAGCCGCACAGGTTGGGTTCTTGCTCTACAAGAGATGTGAGATGGCAGGTCTGGGTTGTCTTAACCCGCGGGGCGTGGGGTCCTGCGTTCTATAGCATAGAAAACTCAGCCTGCCTCTGCGGACCGTGCTGGGCAGTCCCCGCTGTGGGGCCCTGGTCCTCACATCTTTTGTGAAGCAGCACCTTTTGTGTCCACAGGCTCGGCCGCAGACCTCCGTAAGATAGCCGTGACCCACATCGTACTGCAGTGGCCACTTCCCCTACTCGGGCGGCCAGGTCAGTGCGTGAGTGGCCAGCCGGCCTGGGCCCGACCCGGTGCGCGGACCCGCCTTTCCCGGGGCTCGGGGGGTGGGGGGAGGCCCGTGGATTCTGTGGCTGAGCCATGTGCATGCATCTCCCGGGAGCAAAGCAACGCCTCCCACTTCCCGCACGTGGAGGCAAAGGGGCCCCCTGGGCCTGAGCTCCTGTCACACTCCTGGGAGGGCCCTCGCCTGACCCAGGCTGGGCCAAGTGCCCGAGGGCTGGCCCACGCGGCTGCAGTAACGGCAGCCCATCTACCTCGGGGCACGAAGGGGCCTCTTGAGGTTCAGCTGGTGCAGAAATGTGTCTCCCGGGAGCGTCTGAGCCCCTCCCGCCCATCTCGAGGGGCACCACATGCAGCAGCCTGGAGGCGGGTGGACCCCACGGACACTCTGTCAGGACATGGAGACTCCAGCGCCCCCCCCCCCCCGCCTGCCGCTATCACCCCGGTGTGCCAGACACTCCGTCCCGCCCCCGGCTGGCACTCAGATGCATCCTGGGGCTGGGGGCTCAACCTCCGGGCCACAGCTCTCTCCACTTTTGGTCTCTGCCTCAGGTGCTCCCCCAGGGGGAGGGGGACACACACCTAGTACATGTGGCAAAGCCAGGCAGGGGCTCCTTGTCACCTGGTGCTTTGCTGGCCCGGAGCCCCGCCTCGCAGCCACCCAGGGTCCTAGTACATGTGGCAGGGGCGGCTTCTCCTCCAGAACTCCGGGACCCCTTCCGCACAGCCAGCCTGGAAGTCCCCCAGAGAAGTGAGTGTGTCAGACCCCGGAAGGTCTGGCTCCCTCCCTCCTCGGTCCGGTGTGTTTGCCCGCTTCGGGCGGGGGGGGGGGGGGGTCCTCCAACAGGCTAGAGCGCGCCTGTCCCTGCACCCAGCGCTGCCCAGGAAGATAAGGTCACGACCGGGCTGGGCAGCCGCCTCTCCGGCCCTGCAGTAGAGGGAGGGGGTCATGCCGCTTGGGTCCCCTGCACGGGACAAGGGACCTGCCTGCCTGCAGCCCCCTTTTCCATCTGAGGCTACAATTTCCTCTTGACTTCGGTACTGTTCCACCTTCTCAAGGCAAAGATTTCTTTCCTTCTCCGAAACCCCGTGTCTCTCCTTAAAAAGCCTTCTCCTGGCTCCGTCTTCACATATTTCCTACTGTTCATTTTGACTTTGGAGCCCGTGTCCTTTTGGCAATTCCAGCCATTTTATACAGAAATGTGCCCCGGGCAAAGGCCCTGCCAGAGACTTTGGGTGGCACCCTAGCGAAGGAGTGGGGAGGAGACTGTCCCCCTGAACCCACAGAGCCGGGGAAGCCGCCCCGGCAGCCCCTGCCCCAGGCACTGCCCCTGACCGTCTGCCTCAGGGAGAAGCAGCACGGGAGGGGGCCAGCGCAGGCTGCCATCCAGGGCCTGGGGTGGAGCGACGGAGGGCGGGTGTCTGAGACCCCACAGGTGCAAGTTACCTGTGGGCACCTGTCCCGGGGTCTGGGCCACATCTCTGTAGCAACAGGGGGAGGCAAGAGGCAAGAACAGAATGTGCAATGCTCTCCTCTCCGAGTCTCCTGGGCCCTGCCCCACGGCAGTGCCGGCCCCTCCAGTTTATCCAGAGCTCCTCAGGGCTTTCCTGCCAGTCCCAGACCCATGCGTCCTGCCCCCTGTGTGGTGTCTGTAGGGTCAACTTAGACAGCCTGCAAACAGCCTGTGCGAGCTTGGCCGAACCAAAGGCCACACGGTGGTCTTGCACATGTGATATTGTATATCTGCTTGCCACGAGGGCGCCTGTCCGACCTCCAGCCACTGGCAATGTGCCATCGACCTGGGGCACCCTGTGGCCAGGCCTCACCCAGCTCTGCGGGGCACTCGCTGTCTTGGCCTCAGAAATGGGCCCAGGGGAGGCAAGAGGCCCAGCCAAGCAGCGAAGAGTGGCCTCGATGAGCCTAGACTCTTCGAGACAGCAGGGCAGTGGGGTTGGGGAGCCCTGAGCAGGCCCTGGCCTGCCCCTGCGGGCAGGGCGGGCAGGCAGGGGCGAAGCGGGAAGGATGCGGAGCAGTGACAGGGCCTGGCAGAGCCTTTCTGGAGCTCTCCCGAACAGGAGCCCCGGGTGGAGGGCAGAGGGCGGCAATCACCTCAGCTGCCCACTCACGTCCCGGGGACAACAGGGTCCAGCGCGGGCATCTCTGAGCCTCTTCTCTCTGGTGCCCCAGTTTCCAGTTAGAAGTCAGCGGTGAGAGGGGTGTGTGAGTGACTCACGGCTCAGACCTATTCTTAGGTGGCTCAGAATTCACAGTGTCATTTCAGGAAGCGTGAAAACTGATTCTGCTAAACTGAAAACGGTTATGAGTCCCTCTTCGGAGTTTCTGCCCGTTTGAAAACTAAGTTCCCGTGGGAGCAGTGACCCCACCGGAGACCTTGAAGTTTGTTTAAGAAAGCGGAGGCAGGTGCCAGTGGCCCTTGGCCAGAGACGGTGTGAAACGCAGGCACACGTCCCGGGGCGGCCACGGGGGCCTGCGGCCCGGGTGACGCCCTGTGGACTCCCTGCCAGGAGGACGTGCGCGTGCTGTTGGTGACACTGTCCACTTGCGGCGGCCCGGACTCCAAAGGTGGACTTTCCTCCCATCATAGAAATGCAGAATCCCACAACTGCCGACTCTGGTTCGGAGGTTCAGGGCGGCAGGACCAAGGTCCCTCTGGCTCCCTGGCCCTTTGCCTCTCGGGGCCCTGATGGCGATGTCTGCTCTCACCATCACAGCGCCTTGCAAGCAAAAGGAGAAAATAGTGGCGGTCAGAAAGAGCCCTGGCCAAGTCAGCCCTTTTGAGAGTCTTCCTGGAAGCTGGAGGGCATACGCCTCGGGCCACCCGATCTGAGAGAGCGCCCCGAGATGCCTGGAGCTGGAGGCACCACCCCACCCGACAGCAAAGGGAGAGGGATAATGGACTGGGGTGGGCGCTACGAATCTCCGCTGCAGACCCTGTGCGTCTCCCCCAGAGGCTTGAGGGCTGCCCTCCCCCAGCCAGGGCCTGCCGTCATGGTGACCACCGCCCAGCGGGCCCCGCCACACCTCGCCTGTGCGGCCCCGGTTTCCCGGTGCTTCTGGGCCCACAGCTCTGCCCCACGGGGCCTCCTCCCTCGCAGGCTATGCCTGCAAAGTGACAAGGACCAGACGTGGCCTCTGACTTTGAAGGCCCAGTCCCAGGGACAGCAAGGCACACAAGGGCAGGGCACACGGGTCCCTCCCTGATGTCCACCACCCTTCCTGTGGGTCACCTGCACCACGCCTCCCCTCCCTGAGTGTGCAGGGCCAGCCACCTTCCTCGGCCCCGAGGGCAGGGCTAGCACCAGATCCAGGGCCACAGCCCCTGGCCAGCGTCACCTGCCCGAAGCACGTAAGTCGACCCAGATCCCACCAGAATGCGTGAAATCTGGCACGAGCCGGCCGAACCCAGCAATAGCCATGTTCTGTGCAGCCGGCATGGAGCTAGTGAGGACCACTGCTCCGTCCCTTCCCCGTGCACACATTTGCGCCTTCACTTGAGCCGAAGCCCTCCCGAGACCCCTGCCCCTTGGTGCCCACTGCCCCCACACTTCCTGCCACAGTCCAGGCCCCACCTCCCTACTTCCAGGGGTACCCGAAGGGCCTTAGAGAAAGGGTGTTGAAGAAGGGAGCGGGCGGGCCAGGGCTGACAGGGGCACAGAGCCAGAGTGGCTTCCAGGACAGGGGCGCACCCCGTGCAGGGAGCTCGGAGCGAGCCCTGGCCCCTCTGGGCGATGGGATACATGGGGCTCAGCCCCCAGGCCGAGTGGGGGGAAGGGAGGTCTCAGGGCAGGGGCGGCAGCAAGGTGCCCAGATCGTAGGCGGCCTCCTTGCGAGGACCCACAAGCAGAGCCTCGACTCTACGGAAAGAAGGGTGTGGCCAGGCCTGGCCAGGTGTCCCAGGGACCCACCCCCCCCGTGATGGGAACCAAAGGCAGGAGCAGGGGAGCCGGGGTCACCTCTAACTTGTGCCCCCCTCTTCCCTGGGGACTGTGCTGGTGACAGGCAGGTGACCGCAGGCAGCAGGAGCTGGCTAGGTCTTCCTGCTCCCACAAGTCATGTCCTTCCATGGCGCCCGTGTGTCCCATCGCTGCATGAAGCTCGGTATCCAGACGCCACATCTCAGGGTGACTCCCCCACCCCACCCCCGCCGAGTCTGCCAGGTTGGTCGCCCAGATCCATGACGAGCTGTTATTTGAGGTGGAAGATCCACAGGTCCCAGCGTGTGCGGGCAGGTCTGGACGGCACATGGCTGTTTGAGTTCAGGGACAACTACAGCAGCTGCCCCTTGTGGGGACTCAGGGCCACTTTCTGCCTCGTGGTGCCCGTCACTCGCCTGTACCCCGGCAGGCAGAGCGTGAGCCTAACTGAGGGACTCGTGAAAGGCCTGGACGTGCCCCATCCTGGCTCTGTCCAGCAGAGGAAACTCCGTCCTTCAGTGGAGAGGTTCTGTGCACAGTCAGTATTTCCCCAATAGGCTGAGGGGCGAGGTCCCACCTCCTGCCCTTAAGAAGCACCTGAGGGGCGCCTGGGTGGCGCAGTCGGTTAAGCGTCCGACTTCAGCCAGGTCACGATCTCGCGGTCCGTGAGTTCGAGCCCCGCGTCGGGCTCTGGGCTGATGGCTCGGAGCCTGGAGCCTGTTTCCGATTCTGTGTCTCCCTCTCTCTCTGCCCCTCCCCCGTTCATGCTCTGTCTCTCTCTGTTCCAAAAATAAATAAATGTTGAAAAAAAAATTAAAAAAAAAAAAAAAAGAAGCACCTGAGCACTCCTGAAGCTCCCCCAGGGTGGCCGTGGCCACACCACAGGGCTCCCAATGTGCATGCCAGGTCAGAGGGAATGGGTGCCATGCTGCCCTCCCAGGGACCCAACAGCCCTACACCAGCAGCCTCTGCCCCGGCTCCCTGCCTTCCAGCACCACCAGTGTCCTCTCTGCACAGCACAGAGGAGACAAGGCCACTGCCTTCAAATAAGTGCTGACCCGCTTCAGGCACCCAGAGACTGGCTCCCCAGGGAGATGGCCAGCTAACCCCTGAGTCACAGCAGAGACAGAACAAGGCAGCTCCCACCCATTCCTAGAGTCTTTCTGTCACAATCTTTGTGCTGAAAATTTCAGATAACTTTGTAGGATGGAATGAAATATTTATTGATCCAAGGGACAAAAAACTTCAGAGCAAACTCTGAGAAACACTAAACCAGCTGACCCCTCCCCGCCTGGGCCACCCCCTTTCTCAGGGCTGGAGGGGCAGGTGTCCCATGCTGACCCAGGCCACATGGCAGGGCCAGGCCACCGGCACCAAGAAGTGCCCCCACAGGCTCTACCATTATGTGGGCCTCCACAGGGAATTTGGCGGGGAGCGCGGGCCCTCCTGCCCCAGCAGCTGCAGCCAGAGTTGCCCTCTGATCCTTCCTCCTCCCAGCCCCGGGGCCTCTGGACAGAACTGGAGGCCCTGGCACGGCACTTGGGGGGGGCCCCCCCCCCGGCCAGACCCCCACTGGCTGAGGTCGGCAGCAGAGAAGCCGGTCTACAGCCTGGAGGGCGCTTTTGCCCCAGGGACCCATGGTCGGTGCAGTGATGGTGCCTTCGAGCCTGTGCCACGGATGTGGCCGGTGGAGATGGGACCAGCCAGGGGCTGTCGGACCTACTAGCGCAGGTGGCCACGTGGACCCAGGAAATAACTGAGGAGCCTGGGGGCCAGGGCAGGGCTGGGCCTGAGCCTTCCCGTGGCCCTGTCCCTGCCCAGGCGGCCTGGGGCTGCCTCTCTCCTCTTTCCCTTTGTTCCAGCTCTTGCCAGGGGCACCGGGGAGTCCCTGCAGCACATGCAGGCCTCGGAGCTGCACCTGCAGGTGAGTCGGGCCGGGCAGGTGCCACACGACGCTGCCAGGCTCCTCCCCGATGGGAGAGGACAGTCCAGCCACCCAAGGGGCAGGAAGGCCGGGACGGAGGGCCGGGCCCACCCACCGCACCTGAGCCCCCACAGCGCTGCCCTCCCCCACCTTCCCCATGGTCCCCGGAGGCCCAGGAAGCCCTACCCCACCCCACCTGTAGACCAGCAGGTGGCAGGCGATGGCAGCTGTGGGCAGCCCCCACCCTTCCTGTCAGGAAGGAGCTGTTGAGCCACCGTTGAGGGCCTTGGCAAGGTCCCACCCAGGGTTGGGGTCCCCAAGGGCCCTCCAGGCCCCCCCCCCGTCGGCTCTCTCAGAACCAGCTGATCCCCAGGAAGCGGGGACCCTGAAGTGGTGAGCAAAGGTGAGTGCCTGGCCTGGCCCAGCCCCCACAGGCCTGCTCCCTGGCCCAGGGGCCCCGGCGGGCCAGGTGAGATGCACAGCCAAGGTCAAGGTAGTACGACACAGGGGTGGATGTGGCCCGTCTGCCTGTCACTGTGAGCGTGCGTGCACGGGCATCTCTCCAGGCGCCGTGGAGCATGTTCTGATCCTGTCTTCGGGCAGGTGTGGCCCATGTCCGCCCGCGTCGTAGGCTTGGGAACTGGCCTCGGAGGGCTGGCCTGGGCCTGGCACCCAACTCTGGCTGCTGCCCACAGATGCCCCCTAAGGTGAGCCTGAGCGCCGGCCACTCGTGGGGACACCTGGCGCCACTGCGGGAGGCCCCGGGCCCTCGGCCCAGCCCACGTCCCGCGGAGTCTCCAAGCAACCACCCAGCCACCGCCACCCCCTGTGCCAGCACCTTCCCCCGGTGTGTGCATTTTTCCCCTTCATTTTGTCTGTGGCCCCAGGCAACAGTGGGAGGAGAGAACTGGTTTCCACCAGCCCGTCGTGTGGCCGTCCCCAAGGTCAGCACGGGGCACTTTGTACTGGCGTCACGGCCAGAGCAGGCTGTGGGGGGGGGGGGCACGCTCACCCCCCGGGTTGTCCCCTGGAGTAAAGGTCTTTTCAAAGCCGGCCAAATTCCTCCCAGGGATGGAAATGCCTGTCCGCAGCCCTCAGCCAGACCCAGGGCGAAGCGCCCGACACGTGGCCCTGCCTGGCTCACCGCAGGCCCTCCCAGCCCTGCTCCCCTGGAGCCTGGGGGTGGGCTCCTCCGGGGCCACAGCTGCGCCCCACCCAGTGGGTGCCCTCCCTGCCGGCTCTCTGAGCCTCCCGGGGCCGCCAAGATGGCAGCTGCACCGCACAGAGAACACAGCACCACGGGCACTGGGCTGGTGTTCATGACAGGCTCCTCTGGAGGCCAGAGGGGCCTGTGTGCAGGCTCCGGTGTCTCCAAGAGCCCAGCCGGGCCGGCAGGGCCTCTGGAGTCACGCTCCCGGGCCCCGCTGCCTCCCCACAGGCCACCTGCCGGCCAGCTCCCCTGAGTCTCCTCCAGAAGCGGTTTTCTCAGATTCCCCCCGCCCCAAGTGCCAAGAAGAGCCCAGACCACGCACCCCAACAGCCTCACAGCGGGCGGTGACAGAGGTGCCCCTTTACAGTGGGGAAACTGAGGCACAGAACGGTCACATCATTGTACAAGCCCCAGGTCTAACTGCTCCCCTGCTCTGCGCCCCTGGGGTCCCGTTGCCAGACCACCCTGGCACCCCCGGGGGCCTCCACTCCCATGTGTGAGCTGCTCATTTAAATGGTGACCGGGGTCTCCACGCTGCCCCTTTTGCGCAGCCCACCACACACGGCACCCCTTTTCTGCTGTGCCCAGGCCCATTTTTCCCATGGCTTCAACATACCATCACTGTTTCCACGGAGTGTGCAAGCGCAAGGATCTGTGTGGCCAGCCCTGACTGCTGCGTGATGGAACATTCCGGAATCCGGAGATGGCGGGGAATTGCCGCTGGGCCCCTCCATGCCGGCCGTGGGGGTGTGTGGTATGTCCACGTGCCCACGTGCACACAGGGATGGCCACGCCTCTGGCGGCCTGTCTCTATGCTGTCACCTCAGAGGCACGGCCACCGCGGGGCTTCACACAGATGTCTGGGAGGAAATGACTGAGCTCAGGCTGACGTCCAAACAGGCCTCGCGCCCCTGGGCCGGCAAGGGCCAGAGCATGCTGCCCAAGGCAGCTGGTATCCTCCGGCTTCGAAACCCTAGATGCCGGCTTCAACTTAGCTGGCCGGAGGGCCTGTGGCAGGAGGGGAGACCCTGGAGACCGGGACAGCCAAGGTCGCTCCTCCCACCAAGGGAAGGCCCACCACGGTGAACTGTCTGGGCCTGGGGAGCATCTCAGTGTCCGAGCCCCCTCCTCACCCCTTTGCTGGGACTGGACTCTCTCCCTTACACCAGGAGGGAGTGGGCCTGATGCCGTGGCCTGGCCCCACAGTTCCCACTGCCCCTCAGAGCGCAGTCACTCCTTAGAGGCGCCACGTGGGCAGGAGGATGCCCAGGCCTGCGGTGGAGCCCTGGCCAGGGCAGCCAGCACAGGGCCAGCGGCCTCGCCTCCCAAGGTCACCCAGCACCTGCCCCAACCCCCAAGGAGCATCTCCAGAAAAGCAGCCTTTCCTGGCGAAGTGCCAAGCGGGCCCCTCAAGAAAGCACAGGAGCCCAGTTCCGTCAAGTCCGGTTTTATTGAGAAACAGCAGCATCGGGGGCCACGTAGGCGGAGGGGCCACAGCACTCCCCACCCCTCCTGCTGCTCACACGCCCACAGGAGGCCTGGGACCCCCCCACCCGCCCCTGGCCCAGCAGCCTGTCCCCTCTGGAACTTGGCCGGCTGCCCCTCTGGGCCCTCTCAAGGGCCGTTTTGGCGCATCCTGGGGTCTCAGGGAAGTTGCCACGGTCGTGGACCCATAAACAGTAAACCACAGGAAGTGCAACCAGCCACCATGAAATGGTCTGGGCTCTGTGCCCCCAAAGACACAGTGTCCATGGCAGTTGTGGTCAAACAGCCTGGCCAAGGTGACGCCATGTTATCAGCTCTGATCACAGCTCGTCTGGCTGAGTGTCCACCCTGCCACTCTCCCCGCACACCCAGAGACGCAAGCAAAGGCTCATCCTGGGTCGCCCCCGCTTCACACAGGCCCACCCAGTGCCATCCACCGGGGGGGAAGGGCACACTACATTCAAGGTCCGCTGGGCCCTGGGGAAGGGCCAGGGGGAGGGAGAGGGCCCAGCGCCGAGCCGTGGACGCGGCCACCTGCCAGGACCCCGCTGCTCGGCACAGGGCTTGGGGCCAGCCTGTCCTGGCTGGAACGGGAGGTCCTCGGCTACCAGGCTCCCTCCCCGGCACCACACCCTTGCACATGTGTGCACACACATGCACGTCCACACACAGGCACAGGCATGCCCGTGCACATATGGTGAGCACACGTGTGCATACACACAGGCACACATACACGTGTGCACACGCACACCATGCACACACACAGCCACACAGGCACACACACCAGACACACTCCGTCTTCAAAATGGCTAATTATTGCTGTTAAAAAACAATACATCCAACAACGGTAGGCCGGGGCTCCCCTCCCGCACCCCAGGCCCCGGGCCGCCCCACTCACAGCACTGCTGGAAGCCTATCGTCAGCACCACGGAGCAAACGTTCCAGGATCTGCCCCACACCCAGCCTAGAACACACGCCCTAACGCCTCCACCAAAGGACCGGGAGACCAGGGACACAGGCTATGGCCAAAACACATTCACTGAAGCAGCTTCAGACACAGGAGCGACACCGCCCACCTCGCTGGGGAGGGTGGTGGGTTCCCGAGGTTCAGGGGCCACCGTCCAGCCACTCCCTGGACACCCACAGGAAGGCTGCCTCAGGGTAGCTGCCCAGCTCCGGCCCCGGCCCCGCCGCAGCAAGGGCCTCGGCTCGGGGCCACATCTGCCAGCCACTGCCAGGGCAGGCAGGGGCAGTCACTCCCCCTGTGGCCCAGGGAGCCTCCCAAGCGCTCGCCAGATACTCAAGAAAGCCATCGGAGGAGCGTCCCCCAGCCTGTCCCCTCTGAAGGCCTTCTGTGAGGAAGGATGCCGGGGGCAGGCTGGGGGCCGCCCACAGACCTCAGGCCTCGGACAGGTTGGGTTGTAGGGCCCCCCAGCTCAAGCCTGTCTCCCAGAGCCGGACCTCCGACTCCCTGGGGGCAGGCTGGCCCGGCGTCTCCGCCCCATTCACCCAAGGGCAGCAGTGGGAGGCCAGGCTGGACACGGGTACAGATGAAAGGTAAGAGACGTCACCAGGGGCCTCCAGGCGGCTGGCCTCAGTACGTGCACTCGCTCTAGCCACCACCCCCAGGGGCCAGCTGTCTGCAGACCCCAAACCTGGGCAGTGGGCCCCCCGCCAGGACTCTGGTGGCTCCAGGCCGGTCCAAGGCGCCAGAGCCCGCAGCCGCCCCGAATCCCACTGCTGGGAACTACCCATCGGGTCTATGTCTCAGGCTCATCTAACAAGGACATTCTGGAACACTCCACCTCCTGCTTTCCAGTCCAAAAACAGAGGCTTCCAGAAGTCCTGGGAGCCCTGTCTCCTGAGCATGGGTGCCAAGCCTGGGGGGCTGGCTTTTCCTGGGCCTCGGCAGGCGCCCCTGGGGGAGGCCTAGGAGGCCAGCAGGGAGAGGGAGCAGGGTCCCAGGAGGATGCTTCACAGAGGTAGAAGAAGTAACGTCAGAGTTTCTACAAATGTATAAAATTCACATCTCAGTGCACGTCTGTGGAGCGGCTAGCTCCCAGGCTGGCGGGAGGTGGCGAGCCAGAGACAGGCATCCTCCACCAGCGTGGCCCAGGGGACAGACGGGGGATCTGCTCCCCCAGTGATCCTCGGGCCCCGCTGCACCGCACGCTGGCCAGGCGAAGGCCCCGTCCCAGGCACGGGGGGCACCCAGCCTGTTGAGCACACAGGTGCCTGTGCCCACAGCAGCTGGGCATCTGGGCTCCAGACGCACGGCCACCCTGTCATGCCCCCCCGCCCCCGGCATCTCTCCCAAGTCCTGGCGGCAGTGGAAGGGCAGTAAAGAAAGGTGCGGAGTCCAGCCAGTGTCCCTACCCTCTGGGCCGTCCGCCTGGGAAAGACACCACAGCCCACCCAGCCCGCAGACCCCACACGGACAGACAGAGGCCAGCAGGGCAGCGGAGGGCCACGCCTCTGCCCAGGAGCAACCCCAGTGACGCGCTGCGGTCAGCGTCAAACAGATGCCGGCAGCTCCGGAGCCCCAGCCCCACCGGGGCTCCAGCGGCCCCCACCCACCCCACAAGTCCCGACACCAGGGACCAGAGGCTCCAAAGGCACAGGATCAATGGAAGCTGGCAGCGTCCCCAAGCTGCCACTGACAAGACACAACCCACCGTGCTGACCCCGCGCGGCCCCCACCTGCCCTTCCTGCCCGGCCAGGCCTCAGCCCAGCCGCAGCCCCCGCCACGCCCCACGCCAACTGAGGCCGCCCCAAGCCCAAACCAATCCGAACAAAAAGAGGAAAAAGGCACAACTGTTTGTTTTCCATTTTGCTAAAACACTTTACGTCTGTCTGTATATCCAGATTAACAAAATCTGAGAGCTGCAAGAAAATAGGGTGCCGATTTCTGTACAGTCTACAAAACTCCCATCCCCAAGCAGGGACTGGACGCCACCGGGGAGAAATGTACAGGGGACAGTGGGGTCTGTACAATGTTCTGCAAATATCTCGATTGCTGAGGCACAAAAGGCCCCTCGGGAAACTGGGCTCGTTTTACTCGTCTGCTGCTTTCCGGAGTGCCTTTTTAAGAACGTCCCCTCTGTGTCCCGCACACGGGACCGAGCTCAGCGGCCCACTGTGCCTGCCACCCCCCCTCCTCACCCCACCAAGTAGAGGGGCCTCGGTGGCCGTATTCATGCCCCTCCTGCCCCCACGGCCGGGTCCAGACTCACAAGCTGGACAAGTGGGCCCTGCCATCCGCCCCTTTCCTCCCCCGTCCAGGCTACCCCACGCCTGACAGCCACCTCCCACCTGAGAGGGAGAGGCCGGGGGGGGGGGGGGGGGGGCCCCACGGCCCCCGCGCCCCCCCCCCCCCCCCCCCCCCAGCCAAGGCAGACAGCGCTCGCTCCTCCCAAAGGCATCGGGGGGAACCTGCTGCCATCCTGAGTTCAGTCCTACGAGCCAAGGCTGGACAGGGCAGCCCAGAACCTCCCCACAAACCAGGAATGCTCTTTAGGGGGAAAGAATGCTAAGTCAGGGTTCTCCCTCCAGATTTCAAAATCTGAAACCCTCCACCCACCCGGCCACCCACCCCCACCAAACTGGGCCAGAAGTAGTGCATATTCTAGACAGGTGTGTGTGTGTTTGTGTGTGTGTGTGTGTGCGTGTGTGTGTGCGTGAAGGTATAAACTACCATTTTGTCCCAAGAATTAAAGTCATGCAGAGTGCTATTCTGTCTAAATAACTTATTAAAAAACAGGTCGGTT